GTATTGCGCTTCAGATTTTCTTCCGTTTTTGTCTCTTGGTGCGTTACCGGCATGGCGATACTGAGACCTAATGGTCAGTGGAGTGCCTGTAGCCTCACCAGCACTGCTACTATCTGTGACTGTGGCGACCACCATTCAATGTCTAGTCCTCCCCTAACCGTACCCCAACTCTCTCTCTCTCAGCTCTCTTTTTATCTGTCTTTTCTTACTTTTTTTTCTTTGTCAGCCTTCCTGGTGGTTATGTGCTTTTTCAAGTAAATAAAAAAAAAAAAAGGTACATCCAGACTGGACAAAATCCAGCACAAGGCACTGAAGGTGATTGGCCCAGGCGCCTGGCTCCCCAGCCTGAAACACCGCCGACTGGTTGCTGCGCTTTCGTTCACGTTCAAGCTGTCTTACCTTCCAACAACAAGCCCCCTGAAGCCCATCCTCCCACCTCCAGCCAATCCCCGCCCAGTGGGTGGTCGATCCACTAGGTTAGCCACGGAGACTGCCCACTGCCACCCGCTCCAGCTCAAGTCGACGCTGCCCGTGCGCATTCGCAGCAGCCTCCAGGGTTCCTACCATGACTGCATTATTCCCTTGTGGAACAGCCTACCAGCGACCATTCTACCAGCACGGCCGCAACCCAGCCAGGTCCAATCATTCAAGGAAAAATGCAACAAGTATCTGCTGCACCTGAACTGGCAAGCAGCCACCGACGCAATATGAAACGGATTAGACCAGTGCCTCACTAGCATCCTCCCCCCCCCCCTTACAACAATGTGACGTTATCTTTCACTCTGCTTCTCTCACGACCATCTACCCATTGTCCTTGTTTCTCACTATTATTCATTTCCCCTCTTCCTCCCCTCTTCATGGTTTTACTGCATTATGGCGCGCTTTGTCTGCGTAGACGCCGAGACCTTTGAGGTCGGCAGAGCAGCCTGGCCCCGCCACCACTTCTCGCACATATTCGGGAATATAGTGGTGGACTTTCGTATAAAAAAACTAAAAAAACTAACCCGGACCTTGTGAACGTACTCCTACAGAACGAATTTGAAGTACAAGTAACAGCATTCTGTATATAATAATAAGGTGACTAACGTTATTCATTTTAAATACTTCTCTGGCACTTGCAAGATTCGTATCTCGAGAATAGTATTTTGTGCTCAGCGCCAAATCGTCTGATACGAGCGAGGGAAATCTCGTCTTACCATTCCTTTCCTTCCATGGCGTTCCCTGGAATTGTGAGCAGCGAAATCGAACAAACTGTCTATATCAGACTGCACAGCGCTGACCATTCGCCATTGCTGTTCTTTCTCTTCTTCATCAACGAAATGTGGGTGAACGGCAGCGCCGAGAAACATGCAACATGCACTCATTGCAGACGATTCAAGCCTTCTAGCAAAGGTACAGTCCCTTGTTTCTGAACACGGCCTTTCTTCTGCTCTTCAGGAAAGGTTTTGCTTTACAAACAAGCTGTTGCCTCCAGCGTATGGGGCGCAACGGGACGCGACGTAAGGATCGACGGGAAGCGACGGGACGGTCTGGCGGCGTGCAATGTGAACACCAGGAACGGGAACGCAACCATACTACCGTACAGATCGGGAACCGACGGGAAGAGTTGGATCGATCCAACTTTTCATACTGTAGACGGGCGTAGACGGGGACGCAAGCGTACAAAACAGCTGCAATTCGAGTGTGAACAGGAGACGGCGTCGTGCGCCGACTAGGGGGAAATACCTCGAATCCCATGACGGTGCTGCCTGCTTCCACTACCTTATACCCAGTGTGGTGGTGTATATATGTACATGTACGTGTTAACATTGTATTCGTTCTCTGATGTGCAGCCCGGAGAGCTCAAGTCAAGATGTGTGGGCCATTCAGTTCAACAAGGCACATGTCTATGTGCATGTCCATTCGACTACAGAGGAGTAGAATGTTACAATGACATAATTATGTACATGTAGTTGACTTGTCGCAGTGTTGGGATGATCCCACCAAAAGGCAAACCGACTGGATGCCATTCGTGATTCTGGACTCAACGGCTGTGCCAAGAGTCCAAGAGTTCCTTGGGTCTATTTTGCCTGTAACAGAGGCTGTATAACCCAAGAGTACATAACCCCTGGGAGTTATGCACTCTTGGTTGTACGAATACAACGACATCACTCATTCAAGTTCCGCATGGAAATCAGTGTTCATTCACCTTTGAAAACGCAGATCAGCGTCATTGATGGCATGGTGTTAGGTACGGAGAAATACGTTCACTCCAGGTACTAATAGAGATAAGAGAGATGCATGATGTTGTGCATAAGGTGTCTAATGTGAGTATACGAAATCAGTGGAGAATCTGCTGATCTTACTAAGAAAAACTTAGAAATAGGCTGATATTCCAATCACTAAGCTGATAATCCAATCACTAAGCTGATAATCCAATCACTAAGCTGATAATCCAATCACTAAGCTGATAATCCAATCACTAAGCTGATAATCCAATCACTAAGCTGATAATCCAATCACTAAGCTGATAATCCAATCACTAAGCTGATAATCCAATCACTAAGCTGATAATCCAATCACTAAGCTGATAATCCAATCACTAAGCTACTAACTAATCCAATCACTAAGCTACTAACTAATGTTTACTCTGTGGATACCCAAACTATAGTAGTTCATGTGCAAGTTCTAGTTTAGTTGGGAATATGGCAACTTGCATATCAATGTACTAGTTTAGTTGGGAATATGGCAACTTGCATATCAATGTTCTAGTTTAGTTGGGAATATGGCAACTTGCATATCAATGTACAGGTATTGTACAGGTTTAATATCTTACAGAGAGTATACTTTTGACAAAAGTAGCATAAAATAATGATTTTTAAATTTATTCACCATTCACGCTGAAAGAAGTATTGAACTGGTGTTCAAACATGTTATTCTAGTACAAGAACTGTTCGATCACCATAGCTGGATAAGTGGTTTTGAAGACCGGCCGGACGGTTGGAACCCGATAGAGGGCCTGATAAATTTCATCCGCGATAGTGTTCAATTGTTTTCCGGCAATTGCCTTTGAGCAGAACATGGAGATGAAGTTTAAGTCTCGATCAGTGCTCCATGGGACTTGAATGTCGGCTTCTGCACTGGCGAAAAGTGCGACCTGCTTGCTTGTGTCCAGCTGCCAGAAATTGACCATGCCACCTGAGTGGCAGCAGTGCATGACAATGTACAGCTTCTTGCGGGGCGGCAGTGCGGCCACAATGTCCTGCGTGAGCTCAGCGTCAGTATAAACGTCATTACGACTCGATCCTTGCTGTGGCAGCAGAAAACTTTCTACTACCTTGCCACCTTGCCTCATATTCTGCCCACCATGCCCGATCATGAAAATGATGAGGTTGTCACTCAAATCATTCTGCAGAAAGGAACGAATCTCATGGCGAACCTGCAGAAGGAAAGAAGGACATTTCGAATTTGGCTATCGCTTCACGCTAACGAAAATACTACATTGTACTAGAAATTGATTGTATTACTGGTACTTCGAAAAAGAGAAGTACATCCATGTACATGTATAACTGTCATGGACACTATCGAAGCAGCAGTTGCAGTTGCAGCAGCAACAGCAACACCACAATATCTAGTATTATCTACCCATCACCACCACCATCACCACCATCACCACCACCACCACCACCACCACCACCACACCACCACCACCACCACCACCACCACCACCACCACCACCACCACCACCACCACCACCACCACCACCACCACCACCACCACCACCACCACCACCACCACCACCACCACCACCACCACCACCACCACCACCACCACCACCACCACCACCACCACCACCACCACCACCACCACCACCACCACCACCACCACCACCACCACCACCACCACCACCACCACCACCACCACCACCACCACCACCACCACCACCACCACCACCACCACCACCACCACCACCACCACCACCACCACCACCACCACCACCACCACCACCACCACCACCACCACCACCACCACCACCACCACCACCACCACCACCACCACCACCACCACCACCACCACCACCACCACCACCACCACCACCACCACCACCACCACCACCACCACCACCACCACCACCACCACCACCACCACCACCACCACCACCACCACCACCACCACCACCACCACCACCACCACCACCACCACCACCACCACCGCCATGAACACCACCACTACTACCACCACCACCTACACTATTACGACGACCACCACCAAAACAACAACAAAAACAGCAGCAGCAACAACAACTACAACACTAAAAACGAAAACAAAGGAACGAATGAATATCAGACGGGCAGATATGGCCCTCAACGCTCACCGTATCCTTGTTTGTGTAGGGTTTAGTCATAGATTTTTCGAAGAGAGAGTGATGCGCACCACCTTCACTTCTCAGAGACCTGGATACCTGCCCATGAATGTCGCATTTAATGTCTTTGTTAAGGAGGATTGACTTAACCTTCATGCCGTGGTGATATCCCTGTAGGAGACCAAAACACGAACACTGTACAATAATGGATTCAGGAGAAATCCACATGTCCAAAGCTTGCAATATCGCTTCACAGCACAATGTAAAGCAACTCAAAAATATTATCGAGAAATTTACCTAATCCAACACTTATGGATATCATTACATGTATACGAGCTCGTGGTTGAACTCGGATGGTGAGCCAATTTGATTATAGAAAAAGAAAAGGACAAGATGTTACGAGTTATGACAAACTGTCCACCAATGTAACCAGATCTTATACAGTCAGCGAGTGCGAC